ACTACAGGACATATGCACCGAGAACGACGCCAAGGAACTCCGTAACGCCAGCGACTGGCGTAAACACCACTGGCAACTGCAGCATGTGGTGGCGACCATCACAGTTACGGCGTGTGTCCTGCGGTACTCAACTAGGCTTCGCCTCATGACACACCTAAGCGTGAAGAACGCTACGAAACACTGCATCCATCGTCGCAAGACGTTGGTTACCATACGGCGCAGACGCCGTTAAACACAAGGAATTGCCTAGTGTACCGCCCCCCCACATGCCATCGACGTATCCTCGCACCAATCCAGTGTCCCGCAGTAATCGCAATTATACTTCGGGACACTGTGCATCCCAAACTAGTGCTCCGCCGCAACAGCTTCAGCTCCTGTAGTGATTTATGGCAGCAAGAGCTGTTGCGGCGGGACACTCGTTTGAGATCACATATCGGTGGTATGCGTAGTCGTAGCTACAGTATATTAGCTACAGGCACAAGCTGGTGGCTAATCGTGTAAATTGAAAACTGAATTACTACTTGTTAGTCCACTATGGATCTTCTACTACTAAACATCTTGGACGAATGGCCGAATAATCGAACCTCGCGGCGTGGCATAAGTTGCCGAAAAAGCCGACCGCAATGAACATGACATGACATGTCCCGTCGGAAAAGTGAAGCCCTGTGGTTCCTAGAAGTTCTGCATCAGTGACCCCAGTACTTCCAGCAAACACCGCGCTTCACTGGCATCGGTGGTGGCCTTGTTGGCGTGTGCGTGAGTGCAGTTGAAGCTGCTCTGACGCCTGACGCACACACCAACAAGGCCACCACGGGCAACTCCCACCGTTGCTAGCTAGGACTCTTGGTTTTGTCAATGGTCTGCTTGTGGGTCTTGTCGTGTTGGTGGTATTTCGGTGCGTCATGTAGACTTTGGCCATCCTAGTGGGCTTGCGGGGGGACTAGACGGTGGTAGATTGCGGTGGGTCATGTTGTGGGTCTTCCCACAAGTCCCACCACAAGCATTACTAAAAAAATGCAATAGATCCCGCCAAACGTACAATTTCCGCTTGAATCAATCGTGATTGCGGAGGGATACTGGTTTGGGGTGTCATATAGGGTACCCAGTTACAAGGCAATACATTGAAGCTTTCACTGGCGACAGAAGCGGTCCCGGACGAGTCACGTTTGGCGGTACATGGCGTCAACGCAGTTCGTTGAGTTGTTCGGTGGTGTGTGTGCTTCAGTGGTAAACGTAGTCTCACCGCAGGGCGTCCGTCACTTAGAATGAAGCCACAGAACACGAATCCGAGACTGCTAGCGGATCGACAGAAGCTCACGTTGTCGATGGCGTTTGCAGCGTTCGTTAGAGTCGTGTCGGTTGTGTTTGCCGTGCGGTGATTCCCACCGAAGAGCACGCACCACCAACACTACTCCAACGATAGCTGCAAACACCGTCAACCCGGTATAATGACATGCGCCGTACTGTGTCCTGTGGCGTTTGAGGGGCGGCGAGTGTCTTTGGGCTGCCTCTGGTGTCTGCGACGAGAAATGGTATTACGTTGTACTGCGGTGTCGCCCTCTGTGACGAATGTAGCCTGGTAAGTCACCATCGGCTACGCTTTTGATGTTTGTAGCGTCTGTATTAAGTTATACTAAATCCGTATTCGTCGTCCATTCCTTGCCATGGTCGATTGTGCAGGTTCCTTTTTCGTCGATGCTGCAGGTACCAACAGAGGTCGATTGCATGGGTTCATGACGTGGGGATCGACGGCATCTGGCTTGCAGCAACGCTTCGTAGGACACGGCCTGAGACTGTTTACATGTGAGATGCGACAGTCGATAGCGTAGGTATACCGTGTACTGGAGCGATTCATGACGTCTAGCCCGGATGGTCCCGTCGATAACGATAATATTTTGTTTGGTTGTGGCACTTTGTGTGGTTGTTGCGGATCAGGAGGTTCAGAGGGGACACGTTTACTTTGGCGGTGGACAAAGTGTGCCCTGTATCGACTGCCGCTGCATGCACGTGTCGAGGCCGTGCGTGCAGCGGCGTTCGATCCTGGCGCAGGTGGTAGTGCGCTCGGGGTTTCGGGGTTCTGCCAAAGCAAAACCTTTAATATTACATAAATGGTGACTACCTGACTTATTACGCTTGAGGGGTTATTTTTGGGCATTTCTCTCAAAAATATATTCCTCTCATTTTGCATTTTCCCAAAACCATCTAGTGCGAATCTGCAGAGGCCTCTTACAAAGCCATCTGCTCAACCCATATGCTGGATAGTTGAAGTACTACGGTCCGATTTTCCGGAAATCCTTCGCGTTTTTCCGCTTTCTAGTTTGTTTTTCACGGTTAGCCCTTGCCCGGCCTGTGCAAAACCTGAGCCAACCTTGAAGTTTTGCTGCAAAGGCAACACTCGCCACAGCTGTCGTTTACTCCGGCGTAATATATTTGTGCACAAACTGAGTAGAATGACATGCATTCCGTGGGTTTGAACGGTTTTCAGATATGGCTGGTCGGTATTCAGATTTATTGAACGTTTTTCGGTGTTTGTCCCTCTGTCCCCGTTTAAGTGCAACAATGACAATCCTTGAAGTTCCATAATAATTGCAACAATTGTACTACTGTTACAGTTGAATAAACACACTTCATGACATTACAAAATGCAAGATATTATTATTCAATGTATATATCCAGAATTCTCAAGATATCAACCTCGTCGTGGACATCGTCCACTTCAAGATCAAGCTGTTCCAATTCCGTGCAAAACTCCCTCATAGCTAAGTCCTTGGCTACGTCGTTGGCCAATTCAATATTCATATTGGAAAGGTCGCAATCACTCAACAATCGCATGCCATCATTGATGGTACCAACGTCAACAGCCACTGACACAGGCAATTACCCTCTCGCCAATAACGCTGATATCTTCATGTGGGGAATCTTGTAGTCGTTGTTTCCTTCATGACGCACGGCTTCCTAGTAGTACTACAGTACAGCATATCGTACTATGTACTGTATTACATGTACCTGAACTCAGGAAGAGTACAGTTGTATTGTACAGAATATCAGTCAAATTAGACTATTGTTGATTGCATTCCCCACACTTGCATTTGAACAGTGATTACTAAACTGGTCATAAATAGTGCATTGAATATCTTGAGATAGCTTAATATGACGCATTTCGACGGTTACGTTGAACTTGATTAAATTATGTATTGATTATTTTGACGCATTTGGACGGTTACCTTTTTGTTTACCGCTTACGCTTTGGGCGCAGTCTCCCTGTGAATCGTCCAATTACTTAGTGCGCACGACTTTGTAGTATCGCCAAATCCCTCTATCGATTTCGTATGGCAGAGTATCCTCTTTTGAACGTTACAGGGGGCGACGGACTTTAAGGGACACTTGCTACTTCGAATTTGCCATTTCATCGGAAATGATTGGTTGCATAACTTCGAACTTCGATGTAAATCTCGATATTTAGCCAATCACATAATGCTTTTCACATATTCAAATCTTATTGGCTATAATATTCTGTACTTCCATAAAACTTCGATGTCCCTTAAAATCCGTCACCCCCTGTACTTCACTTGGTTAACATAAACTAGTACTACGTACTACAGATAACAACGTTGGGACTGGCGCACAGTGGTACCAGGAATATTTTTATAAATGTGAGAATGAACAAATGCAATCAATAGACGCTAATTTTAGCCAATACCTGGCCTTTCGACCTCATTCACCGTGATTGGGTACTTTGAATTTGTTAAATTGAATTTGATTGGCTTATTCGAATTTTGAGTCTCACGTGTCATATCCGAGTTTGCGATGCCGTCGCCGAAGCCCATTGCCAAGCGTCGACAACGCCGATACGTTGTGCGACAGATTCGTATCTTCCTCCGCATGTATGCTCTGCTTGGGCCATGCTCGAGACTCCGACTCTTTGCCAAGTCGTACCATATCCCCGTAGCAACATTCCGACGGTGGGTCGCGAACTCGTCCAGCTACCTCGCCAAAACGACCCATGGCCCGCGGGCAACTCTTCACGGCAAAGGACGCCTGGAATCTGTCGAGTTCTCAAGCGACTTGGTCGCATTCATGGAGTCGGTGCGGGACGGTGAACACTTCCTCACGACTGCACATCTGGTCACCTAGATGAAGTCGCACCGGCCGCTTTGGCTCAAAGCATACATGGATGCCAAGCTCAATGATGACCGCGCATACAAGAGCCTGCTCCAATGGTGCCTGAAGTTCCCGAACCGTCATGGATACTCCCATCGAGTGCCGTGCGCTGCCAAGGCCACCCAGTCAGAGCTTCAAATCGTACAAGAAGCATTCTCGGCGGAGTTCTTCTCAAATTTTGGGCACCTTCCACGCCGCGCGTGGATCAACGTCGACGAAACCCCGGTGTACTACGACATACCACCGGGCAAGATACTGGCCAAAGTTGGCAAGTCATCGCGAGTCAAAGAGACGCAGAAGCACTCCGACCGGATTACGGTCGTGCTGTCAATCCGGGCAAACGGTACAAAAGATACGTCGTAAAATGTTCTAAACTGCTGTAGGGGAAAAAATGCCCATGTTGATCATCGTCAAGGGCACTCGCGGCGGCGACATCGAGCGTCACGAACTCCCAACGTATCCTGTTGGACCTGTGTATGCAGTTCAAAAGACTACATATGTACATGAACCAACGAGTTTGATCGTATTACCTGCGGGAAGTGCAGATGCCCGACATTGACTGCCCATCGGTCGTGCTCGCTGACAACCTCAAGTGCCACGTTTCCAAGAAGTCCTACAAGATCCTTGAAGACGAACTCTTTTCTGTGGCCTACTTGCAACCACTTCCTGCGAACACCACGAGTGTTCTGCAACCCCTGGACGTTGGGGTTATGGGCCCGTTCAAGCAAATGTGCCGTTCCGAGTGGATCAAGGAAAAAAAAGTTGTCACTGCAGCGGAAAAGCGCCTTGCCATGATCAAGCGGTCAATCAAGGTTTGGGATGCCATGAAGGAGGATACCATCCGCAAGTCATTTGAAAAGGCGTTAACAATTTTTGAGATTTAATCCAATATTTTGGTAATTGTTGTGTGTTTTTTTCACTATTTATATAATTTTACATTATTTAATACAAATATTCATATAGATTGAAAAAGTATAAAAAGTTCACACTGCCCACGGGACCTCATGCTAATCCTTCACCCCTCACACCGCAATGCTACTTAGTTTAGGTCATTCAGCATTTCGCCAACTTACCCTAATCACCACGTTTAGAACGCGGAGGTATCCTCAGACTGAAGGTAGTGTGCAAAATAAGCCTACCAGTCATGTCAATTGTCCCCGAGTTCAATCCCGGGTGAAGTCACTTAGCTATTGGTTGAAATACTTCCAATTAGAAGACAATGCAAAAAGTTGAAGCAACCCCTTTATTTATAATTTGTGGTCTCACGTTTCACGCAGCATACTTTGTTCTTCATATTTGATTGTACCACTGTGCGCCAGTCCCTACGTCGTTCACTGTACGTAGTACTTATGTACAATGTACTGCACGTATACTGACAGAATACTACGTGTACTATTCAACTGCACACATCTTGAAGGATTATTATGACGTATTTTTAAATAGTACATTGAATATCTTGAGACTGCTTAATGTGACGAATCTTGACAGGTACGTTGAACTTGACTAAAGTATGCATTGATTATTTTGACTCATTTTGACGGTTATCTAATTTCGTTTGTAACACCTCGGGCTGTAGCTGCATGGTTGCAGCTACAATGTCATACTGTAGCTACAACAGTAACCTGTAGCTGCAAGATCGTAGCTAAATTGATGTGTAGCTACAACGTCCTAGCTACCACTCTGAGGATTACATACAAGGTCGTAGCTACATTGATTGTAGTCAGGATTTTGTTTGTAACCCCTGGGGCTGTAGCTGCACGGTCGCAGCTACATGGAATTGTAGCTACAATGTCATAGCTGCAACAGTACATGTAGCAGCAGATCACAGCAACATTGATGTGTTCCTACTACGTCCCAGATACCACACTAAGGAGTACATGCATGATCGTAGGTACCACCATGGGCTATCGCTCAAACGCAGAGGAGACTGCGAACGAAACAACTTGTGTGCTTATGAGAACCTTTATATTCCATCGACACTACTGTTGCATTGCCTAGAACGTTATTCACTTATTTGGACCAAACGGTCTTGTTATCACACGCTCCTCGGAGACAATATACACCACTCTTGAAAGTGCACTTGTCGTGTACGCATGCTAGAATTCGATACCTGCAGGAGTACAAAGCGAATGCCTGCTTAGGAAAGTTTACAATGCGTCCTTTTTCTAGTCTTTATTATTTTTTCGCATGCAATATCTACTTATTTTATGGGGTTTCTCGTTGTTTTCTCGTGTAACATCTAC